TATAGTAGAAGTAAGAATAAAACATAAGTTTAAATACCTGAAATAGGTACTAATAATTGGGGACAACAGGACAGGGACAGTAGGCACGATTGTGCGCTTATGCACACACACCCCTTACAGACTTCTTAGGAATGGGGTGAGGTCAACAGAGGTTAGTTTGAGGGGAAAGGAGTGGGGGTTTGAGCAGGTGACAACAGAGTCAGGTAGTGAGTTCCAGACATTGACCACTCTGTTGCTGAAATCGTACTTCGCGCAATCGAGTTTGGAGTGGTTTACCTTTAGTTTATATCTGTTGTGTGCTCTTGTGGTTAAAGCTGAAATATTCATTAACTGGTAAGACATTGTAACATATAATTTTATGTACTATGCTTAAGTCTAATCTTAGCCGGCGTTGTTCAAGGATGTCTAAGCCTAGAATCTCAAGTCTGGTGGTGTAGGGCATTCTGTTGCAAACAGAGGAATGTAGTACTCTTTTGGTAAAATACTTCTGAACTCACTCAATTGTATTTATGTCTGATATACAGTGCGGATTCCAGACAACCGAGCTGGTATTGGGCTAACAAATCATATATACAATTTTTGCAGTAGGTTGTGGCATTGACTTTTCCATATTCATTTACATACATGCATGCATGCATACATACATACACATCATTTACATTTTATATTTTACATTATCTTTTGTTCCTGTTACCTAACCAAACATACCATTTCTCCCAGACCGTATAGTATTCTTTTTCTTCCTTCTCTTGCAATTCCATTGTAAGTTTATTCATTTCTGCACAATCCATAATTTCTTTTATAATCACATTATCTGTGGGACTACTCTCTAATTTCCAAGTTTCAGGCATACGTTATTCTAGCTGCTGTCAATATATGTATCATTATATATTCAATGTCTTTCTTGTATTCACTTCTGATTATCCCTAATAAGAACATTTCAGGCTTAAGTTCTATTTTTAAACCTGTTATTTCTTGCAGCCAAATCCTTATTTTATTCCAAAATTTATTTGCTGCTTTCACATATGAAAGAAGGTGCCTGGTTTCTTTTTACATTTCCAACATACCGGGTTCAAATTTGGGTACATTTTGGCCAATCTCGCTGGTCCTAGGTGCCAACGATAGAACATTTTGTAGAGATTTTCTTTATAGGGGGCTGCCATTGTTAATTTATAGTTTTTCATCCAAAGTTTTTCCCAATCTTCTAATTGTATGTTAAATCCGAAGTTTTTCATCCAAGCAATCATTGTTTGTTTCACTGCCTCCTCTTCTCTTGAATTTTTATTGCATTGTGGCTGCTTTCTACTTTCCCATGTCTTCAGGGACCCTTCTCCAAAAGTCTCCTTGTGTTAACAAAACTTATTAATGTTTTTTGCCAAATTTTGTTGTCCTGTTGGAGAGCAGTTTCAAGATAACTCTTTCTGTCTGCTTTCATCTAGAAAAGAAATCCGATCCCTCGTCCTGCAAGAAGAGGTAAATAGAAGGAAGGCCGTTACCTGTAAAAGCGGTCCACGTATTCAAGAGTTCCCCAACCTTTCCGGCTTTGCAGCCCGGTGGGGGTGGGGGTGAGGTGGGGGAAAGAGGGGATGGTTCCTCAGAGCAGCAGGGAAGCATGGGGGCAGCTCCATTTGGGCAAGAGGCAGACGCACACGCCTGCCACTCGTGGACATGGAGCACATGCGTGCTGCTCGTGCGCCACTTCTGCGCCCCGGTTCTGAACGGCAAGGGTTGGGGACCCCTGCTTTATTCCATAAGCTCATTTTCTGTGTATTAAGTCAAAAGTCAAAATCTGTTTTTTCACAGGTGATGGCTCAGAAATTGAGCAAGCCTGGTCAGAATTCAAGGCTGCAGAATCTCTTCCCCTCCAAAGGTGGCTGAACTACAATTCCCAGCAGCCAACTGCAAGCAGTAGAGGATTCTGGGATTGTACATCTGGAGAGCCACTGGTTGCAGCTGCTTCCCTGGATTATTATTGTTATTTTTTGCTGTAATATTTTTGGAATCTTTTTGCAAATATCTTTGGCTTCAGCCTTTTACCTCCTGGATGCAATAAGTGATTGGAGCGGAGCATTATGGATAGAAAGCCCTGATAGATTTAAACTTAGTTCGGGAAGGCTGCAGGTAACACAAATTGTTCCTTGTGAATAAATGCTAATGTAGTTGTCATTGTGAAACTTCTTGGATTTACTTGTCGGGACCTTATGTGGCTAATTTCTGGTTTCAGCAAACTGCTTATTAAAATAATTACTGTTCAAGATCATTTTTAAGTATTCTTGAAGCCTTAAAATATTAAATAATGTTTATTAATGGTGGTGATGTTATCCATTCAGTTGTGTCTGACTGTTGATGATTCTATGAAGCACATCTTCCGATTTTGCACTACTTCTTTTGAGTTTAAAGGTTGAATCATGGCAACTGAACCAAACTTTGCTAATTTTTGTTAAACTAATTTTGCTCTGATTGATGAAGTTGCTTGAATGAGCAACGAATCAGATCAACAAAGTTTGGCCCAGTTGCCACGATTCAAACTTTAGTCACCTTTGACCTGGATGGTAGAGTCTTCATTGACCTACTTCTTTGAGTTGTTTTATGCTCTGGCCAGTGTCAGCTTAATGGTATTCAGCCACCATGTTATTTGGTGACCTGTGCTAACTCTTTCAAGCGTAATTGCTTTCTCCGGTGAATTGCCCCACATGACATGTCCAAAATAAGTGAGACACATCGCTAAATGTCTATGGAGATTCTCAGTCCTCCAGGTCATGGTTGTCCCAAAGGTGCTTTTTCAAGAGGCAACTAGACTTTTCAAGAGGCAACTAGACTTTGAAGACTTTTCGCTTCTCAGCCAAGAAGCTTCTTCAGCTCTGACTGGATGGTGGAGAACAGAAGGATTTATACTCCTTGCAGGCAGCTGGTCATTTGCAACCTTTTAGAGGGTCGTTCAAGCACTTGGAGGTTTATCTGTGTCCTCAATGACCCTCTAAAAGGATGCAAATAACCAGCTGTCTATAAATCCTTCCATTCCCCACTGTCCTGCCAGAGCTGAAGAAGCTTCTTGGATGAGAAGCAAAACGTCTTAAAACAAAAAACAGAAAGTCCAGTTGCCTCTTGAAAAAGCACCTTTGGGACAACCAAGACTTGGATGACTGAGAAGCTCCATAGACATTAAGTCAGTGGTGGGGCGTGCGTACGCTCACAACCAGCGAACCGGTTGTTAAGCCACCTCTGCATTACGAGACACAGTTTTATGATTGTGCCTTCCAGTGGCATGTCTGTTGCGTGTTCCAATACTTGCTTGACGCCTTTGCTGTCCAAGGAATATGCAGGAACCTTCCCCTGCACCACAGCTCCAAAAAGAGTATTTTAAACTAGCATTTCTCAAACTTGACAACTTTTAAGATGTCAGCTCTCAAAATTGGGCAAGGATATTCCCGGGAGTTGAAATCCATACACGCCAATGTGGAGAAACACTGGTTTAAACCAAACCTCTCAGTGTTAAGGAGTTTCAAATACCACCAATGATTATGAACTCCCAGTTGTGATGTTGGTGTTTTTCTACCCCAACTTCACTACGTTGGTTTGAGGATATACAGGATTACCTGTACACAGCAGGAAAGTTGAAGATAATGGAATGTCGGATAATCAGAGTTGGAAGGGACCTTATAGGTCATCTAGTCCAACCCCCCTCCCAAGCGGGAAACCCTACACCATTTCTGACAAGTGGCAGTCCAATCTCTTTTTGAAAGCCTCCAGTGATGGCACCCCGCAACTTCCAAAGGCAACTTCTGTTCCATGGGTTGACTGTTCTCACTGTCAGAAAGTTTCTCCTTATTTCCAGGTTGAATCTCTCCTTCTTCAGTTTCCATCCATTATTCCTTGTCTGGCCTACAGATGCCTTGGAAAATAGCTTGACTCCTTCCTCCTCTCTGTGGCAGCCCCTCAAATATTGGAAGACCGCTATCATGTCTCCCCTGGTCCATCTCTTCACTAGACTAGCCATACCCAGTTCCTGCAACCGTTCATCGTATGTTTTAGCCTCCAGTCCCCTCATCATCCTGGTTGCTCTTCTCTGTACTATTTCTAGAGTCTCAACATCTCTTTTATAGTGTGGTGACCAAAACTGGATGCAGTACTCTAGGTGTGGTCTTACTAAGGCTTTATAGAGTGGTATCGGTCCCTCACGTTTATCTTGATTGTATCCCTCTGTTAATGCAATTTAGGATTGCACTAGCTTTTATTAGTGCTGTTACAGAATGCATCATCATGTCCTTAAGTAACTTTTCGACTGTGTAACACGTTCTTGTTATCAGAGAAACATAACAGAAGAGAATCTGGTAAACATTTTATTGTTCTTTGAAGTAACAAACAAACAGAGCCACTTCCCTGTTCTTCTACATTACAAAAGCTGCACCAGAGCTCTGTGGCTGAACTCCTGTGTTACTCTTCATTTTTTAAAAAAACAAACAAACCCTGGGTTATCCAAAAGCAAGTTACAGAAAAAAAACCCAATTCTTTACTAATTGAGGCTGCTTCTATAAAGCTCGTCAGGTTGTTGACAATGACTTCCTGGGGGGGGAAATTAGGATTAAGTGTGGTGGCTAAAGTATTCGAACAATGGGAAAAGATGACTGGGCGCATAGAGTGGTGCCTTTTAGCATTATTTGAAACTTTTTAAAGCAGCCTCCTCTTTTCTGCAGGTAGTCCTTAACTTGGGGGAAATTTCTTAAGTGAGCTTTGCCCCATTTTACATTCTTTCTTGCCCCCTTTGTGAAACATTGAAGTTGTTTAATTAGTAACCTGGTTAAATGAATCAGGCCTCCCCATTTGCTCGTCAGAAGGTGGCAAAAGCTGATCACTGGGACACTACCATGGTCATAAAATGAACCAGTTGCCAAGTATCTGAATTTTGATCACGTGACCACGGAGATGCTACAGCGGTCTTAAGTGTGAAAAACGGTCGTCACTTTTTTCAAATGCCGCCATAACTTTGAACTATCACCCAACTGCTGTGGTTTATTCAATAAATCATGGTTTTGGACAATCTCGCGTGACATGTGAATCTGGTCAGTTTGTAGGTTCGTGTGAAGCAAACAAGGCTGGAGAAATCGATCTCAGGTGGTTTGACATGAATGCTAGCGTGACACTATTTGGAAGGCACAGATATGGGATCAATGTACAAATTCATGATTAGATGGGCTGCTTTTTTAGGGTTTCGTCAAGGGCAACCACGGCTTTTAGGAAACTGGTTGATGGCCCATTTCCTGCGTCTCATTTTCAGGCAATATGGCAACTTGGGCTTCTTCAGGGCTCTCATGTTCTCCAGTCTCATTCGGATCCTTGTTTGGTGGGACGGCAGCCAGGGGGACACTGGCTTGGCTGGGCACTGTAGCGTATTCCGCCTGGGTTGTAGCCATAGGCCTGCAAAAAAACAAAAAACAAACAAGGTGAATTGAATTAATTTGAATACTTTATTTGGCCAGGTGTGATTATAGACACACAAGAAATTTGTCTCAGGCGCAGAAGCTCTCAGGTGCAAAGCAACAGAATAATGGTAATCATAATAATACCAATAAGAGGGGGGTGGGGAGTAAAGAAGATAAGAAGAATGAATAATAAAACTGCAATAGTACATGGATAAATACACACGGACAATAGACAATTGAAAAGTTTAGACAAACATGCATTTTTCTTGAAGCAGCATATTGCAGGAGAAGCCTGTTCTAACTCCTCTTTTATAAAAAACCTCAGTGGAGGGGTAGTCTTTCCCAATTCAAGGTCTTAGATTTCAACTCCCGTCATTCCTGGGTATCTGGCACAATGCTGGGAGTTGCAGTCCAACTCAAAAATATTTCTCTGGTCTTTTAGAGTTATCAGCAGAAAGAGAGTGGTGGTGGTGGGGAAAGTGATGCATAACCTTAAATATTTTCATAGATCATTTCTAGGCGGCCGAAGCTTCTGGCACTCAAGAATATTGCTGGAGAGCATGATTGACGACTCGACTATGGATGCGTCCCATTGGAGAATATACATCCGGGTGGGGGGGGAGACCAGGGTCAAGGGTGAGATGAACGGTGTGTCTCAGTGTCGGCCGCACCCAGGTAGTGTTCACATGTTCACACCTAATAAATGATTTTTTAAAAAAACTCTTGAGAGGTGGGGCTAGAGACTCATGATTCGAATGGGGGTGGATTGTCGGAGCCCTGACAGCCAGCCGACACTGAGACACATCATCTCACCCTTGACCCTGGTCGTCTCCCCCCCCCCCCCCCAAATGTATATTCTCCAATGGGACACATCCATAGCCAAGAGTCATCAATCATGCTCTCCAGTAATAATCCTGCTCGCCAGAAGCTTCGGCCGCCTAGCAATTATCTATGAAAATATTTAAGGTATGCATTACTCCCGCTTCCCCACTCCCTTTCTGCTGACAACTCTAAAAGTCCAGAGAAATATTTTTGAGTGGATACAGGGCAGAAGGAGGTACCATGTTGGAAAAGGTTCCAGTGGCCGTTTTAGGTGAATCCAACCTGGTTATATTTTTATACTTTTATATGCCCTCAAGTTGAGTTTCACTCTTAGCCTACATGCAGTTTATTTCGCCATGTTATTGAGGTGGTTGCCATCACTGTCTTGTTGAAGGGTAGATTTAGTCCAGGGATGTCAAACTTGCGTCATCACAGCGTTGTCGCATGATGTATCATGACTTTCCCCCCTTCGCTAAACCAGGTGTGGGTGTGGCCAACACGTGATGCATCCAGCCTGCGTGATGCATCCAGCCCACGGGCTGAAAGTTTGACACCCCTTGTTTAGTCAACTAGCCCAACATTCCTAGACAAGGAATGAACAGTCTTAACTACCTAGCTTCTGACATAGAACATGGAACAATAGAGGTGGAAGGGACTTTGGAGGTCTTCTAGTTCAACTCAAGTCAAGAGACTTATATCATCCCAACCAAATGGCTGTCCAGTCTCTTCTTCAAAGACATGATGGAGCAACCACCCACAACTTCTGGAAGCAAGTCATCCAATGATTAATTGTTCTCGCTGTCAGGAAATTTCTCCTTAGTTCTGAGTTGGATCTGTCTTTATTGATCTTCCATTAATTTAATGATCCACCAGCTTGCATGCTTACTCATAAATTCAACTTGGCTCCTTTATGTGTCCATATAAATTACAATTTTTAGCCTGGGATTACATCCTTTGCCACTGATTGGGCAGGTTTTCTTTTATTTATTTTTTTATCCTATCTTTTATTGTATAAATAACTCAAGGTGGTGAACATACCTAATATTTCATTCTGTTTTCCCCACAAGAACGCTGTGAAGCAAAAAGTTGGATTTGGCTTAGTCCTTAAGGTGAACCAGCTACTATGAGTCACCATAAGGTGAACCAGCTACTATGGTTCACCTTAAGGTGAACCAGTTACTAGGATTGTAGCTTACTGTGATAGCAATAGCACTTAGACTTAGATACCGCTTTACAGTTCTTTGGAGCCCCTTCTAATGATTTACACAGAGTCAGCCTCTTGCCCCCCAACATTCTGGGTCCTCATTTTACCCACCTCGGAAGGATGGACGGCTGAGCCTGGTGAGATTCGAATCTTGAGCCTGGTGAGATTCAAACTGCCAAATTGCAGGCAACCTGCAGTCAGCTGAAGTAGCCTGCAGTACTGCACTCCAACTACTGTGCCACCATGACTCGTATGAAGCCAGCCACTTGAGGCTGATTCTACAACTCTATTCTAGGCCCATCCTTGGTAGCTGGACATGGGAACCCAGCCACTGTGCTGAGAAAAATACGTTTGTGGCTTATTTGCTAAACTTTTGTTCCAACAAGCTCTATTAAAACCACAAGCCAGCTTGACAAACTTACTGCATTTCCTTGGCTACGGGTTTCTCTTTTCGCCTCTTCTTCTTCTCTCTGGAGATTAGAATCCAAACGACGATACAAATCAAGGCAGCGGCTAGAATTGACGCAATTAATGCTCCCGCAATGATGCCGCCTTCTGAATCTGCAGGGGGAGAGAGAAACTCCTGTCGTTTATACAAGAAACTCCTTGGCAGAAGGTGTGGAGCAGCTGGTTGACCCTTCTGAGTGGACTACAGAATAGGAAAGGCGATGTGTCCATCTTGGCAAGATTTATACATATTGTCCGCTTGTCTTGGCCGTTCTGCCATGGGCAACACAATGGGATGGAAAGACTCTTGCTTTTGGGTTCCTTGTGAATGCGGCTGTAAAATGGTGTGTGTGAATTCCAACCACTTCTTTTCAATCCATGAATGTGATGGGAGAAACTCTAGGGCCCTTTTGGTGGCGCGGTAATTCAGATTCAACCTAGAGTAATAGGGTTGGAAGGGACCATAAAGGTCTTCTAGTCCAACCCATTTCCCATGACAGAAAATCCTAACCATTCTGGGCAAAAGGCTGCCCAGTCTCTTTTTGAAAACCTCCCGTGAGGGAGCACCCAGACTTCTGAAGGCAAGCCGTTAATTGTTCTCGATGCCAGGAAATTTCTTCTTCTTTCTCATCCAAAGGAAATGCTTTAATCATATCTCTATTTCAGTTTGGTTAAATTTCAGGGAGATCTAACCCTGGTTCCCAACCTCTTCAGGAATAGGATGATGCTTTATCCTTAAAGCTGCCACATGATATGTTTTCATTTTTCTTGTTGAGGAATGAAGCCCAAGGAAAAACGGCTTCCCGAAAACCAAAGACAAGGGCTAAGATGGGGTTGAACCCCTGTTACACTTACATCGTTGGAGCTTGGCCCCTCATTTCCATTCATTTAAAATTGCCTCCTGGTTTTCCTTTTAGAAGATGCTCAAGATGGGTATCAAATCAACAATAGGGTAAGATCGGGATGTTTGAAAACACTTTCCAAGTTATATAAAATCATCTAAACCTTTTCTTTCTATATTATTATTATTATTATCATCATCATTATTATATATTTATATTATAATTTTATTTTCCAGCATAACTCTGGGAAATTTCAAGCAAACTTGATACACAGATGACTTACCCTCTGGAAATGAATACTGTGGGGGTAAGACACCCCTAACGCCCCTCGTAGTGTGGGTGGGTGTGCCTTAAAATGGCTTCTACTGTACAGCACAGTGTGCTTGCCATGGTAACAGTTTCACAGTACTCCACAAGGGGGCTCTCTCGTGGAGGAATAGAAGAATTGTGACACTGCGCACAAGAGTACAACAGCATGAGTCCCGACTACAGGATTTTCCTGTCTAATACAGGATTGGGATAAATAAATACTCGGGCAATGCTGGGTTATCGGCTAATTATATAATAGTAACACCCAGTAAATCATCAGAGTGTCAGCTGTGTGTAATAAGTAAGGCATCAGGCTAGAAACCAGGGACTGTGAGTTCTAGTTGTGCCTTAGCACAAAGCCAACTGGGTGATCTTGGCCAGTCCCTCTCTCAGAAGGAGGCAATGGTATATCACTTCTGGAAAACCTCGCCCAGAAAACTGTTTTCTTGGAAAGAGTTTGCAGAAGTGATTTGCCATTAATTGCCTCCTTCCTAGGGCCGAGAGAAAGGGACTGGCCCGACGTCACCCAGGTGGCTTTGTGCTAAGGCAGAACTAGATCTTATGGTCACCAAGTTTCTGGCCTGATGATTTTGTTGTTTCACTGCTTTCCTTAAAATGCTTGAGTTTTTAATTAGAAAGGGCTGGTTTAAACAAGAAGTTTAAGGACATTGGAAATGAAATTAAATTGAACAGATAAGACAACACTCAACGTTTTGTAGTGAGATCGATGTAACAGGAGCTGTTCCCAAGAGAGTTGATAGCTGTACACTGGTAATAGCCTTCTTCAAACTGGGACAGGTTGCCCAGAACCAGGCGTCCCGAGTAAGGATCTGAAAAGGAAGATGGGAGAAAGGCCAGGTTGTTAAACACACATCTTGTGCTTGGCTAGCGATGGCATTGGTTTTGCCCAGAGTCGTTTGGATAGTGAGATAACGAGCAGCACATTTGGTTAATAATAATTTTGGAAGATGGGAGGTTTCAGCCTTTTAAGGTGGGCCAAGTTAAAGAACAAGCACTGCAGAGCAGGGGTGTCAAACTCAAGTCCCACAGGCTGGATTCAGCCCGCAGGATGGTTAGATCTGTCCTGCGAGGCCACCCTGGAAATAGCGAAGGACCGGTCTGTGGTGCCTCTGCTAGTGAATATTGAGCTCAGGAGGGCCGTGGTGGCTCCCCTGGGCTCCGTTTTCGGCCACGACAACCTCCTGCATCCCTTTGCCAGCCTGCAGCCCTCCCGAGCACCGTTTCGGTGGCAGAGGGCTGCAGGCGGATCCTCCCCAGCACTGCCTGGGCCACCACAGGTGCGCCCAACATGAGTGAAGTCAAGCTGGCCACACCCACCCTGGCCAAGCCCCCCACGACCCCCACAGGTCAAACACATGCGGCCCTCAATGAAACCTCTGCTGTAGAGTTTTCAGGAATGCCACTTTATTGTAGAGTATATTAACATAACTTTGAAAGCCTATCTGAATTTCTCTCTGTCCAACTTGCACAAAGAAATACAATTTGGAATTAATTTGCATTTCTTCCTTGTGTAGGTAGTCCTCAAATAACAACAGTTCATTTAGTGACCAAAGTTACGACGCCAAGAAAAAGTGCCTTATCACTATTTTTCACACTTGCAACATCCCCATGGTCACTTGATTAAAATTCAGCTGCTTGGCAACTGACTCCTTTAGGATGGTTGCAATGTTTCATGGTTATATGATCCCCTTTTACAACCTTCTGACAAGCAAAGTCAATGGGGAAGCCAGATTCACTTAACAACCGGGTTACTAACTTAGCAATTGCAGTGATTCGCTTAACGGTGGAAAGAAAGGTTCTAGAATGGGGCAAAACTCATTTAGCAAATGTCTCACTTAGCAACATAAAATTTTGGCTCAATTGTAAGTTGAGGACCACATAAGTATATTTGATTCAAGCTCAGGACTGTGTAATCTCTATTTTCCAAGTATTTCCTTACTCTCCTCCCCGTTTCCTTGCCCTTTTATTCCCTCCCCAAGGTCATCTCTTTCGTACTTGGCAGGAAGCTCATCTGCCACAGAAACAATGATGCACCAAGCATCTACCACTTTAGTAGCAAGGGTTGACTGTTTTCTCAGAGACGTTTCATTGCCCATAGTAGGTAACATCAGTTCTAGGTGGTTACCTAGTTTGGGTAATGAAACACCTGCAAGAAAACAACCAAGCTCAAGAAAGCCCCAAGGACCTCTCATTTCAACTCTGAGCTACAGATATTATTCTTTATTGGCATTTTAGAAGCTCACAATGGAATCGATGTAAGACACTGGATATGGGGACTTCTAAGACAACGAGTGACAATTGCAGGGCGATGTCGAGGGACAGCTTGCATGATTCCTGTTGAAAAAATAGTCTACTTTCTAAGAAAGTACTATATGTTCCGTAGAAGACAAATGACTATTGGTAGCCACAATAGAAGAAGTAGAAGAAGAACATCACGGCTTCAAAATCTTAAGGGACTGGTTGGGACAAAACTCAACAGCACTTTTTCCTGTGGCTGTTCATAAAAACAGGATTGCCAACATGATCACCAATGTCCAATGACAGATATGGCACAAGAAGAAGCCATAAAGAGCTGTGTGGACTGATGCCCCCCATACTGGAATATATAATAATAATAACACTTCATTTGCGGTCACAGACCAAAACACAAGTACTACAAAAGAAGAACATAGGAAAATTAAGCATGAACAATTGGTCACCAAAAACTTGACTAAGGGGAATTACAGCGTTCTCCTCTGATGGTTACAGCTCTTAAAAAATTTTTGGAAACCTGAGAAGTGATGTATAAATGGAATATATAAAAAAGGAGAGTTGGTGACAGAACTTTTATCAGCCCTGAAATTCAACCCTTCGTGGAAATTCCCTTTTAAGCTTCTCAGGAAAAGAGTAGATGGTGTTTAGCAAAGAGATTACAGATCAATACAGATTATCCTACTGTCGGCCAAGAGGCCACTCATCCTTAAAGCCTTTTGGGGAAATCCCTAGTTCTGAGAGTTGCCGCCATTTTATACACCACATAGAACATAGAATAATAGAAAGGGATCTTGAAGGTCCTCTAATCCAATCCACACTCAAGCAGGAGGCCCTAGACCGGGGGTCTTCAAACTTGACAGCTTTAAGACTTGTGGACTTCAGCTCCCAGAATTCCTCCTTCAGTCATGTTAGCTCAGGAATTCTGGGAGTTGAAGTCCACAAGTCTTAAACTTGCCAAGTTTGGAGACCCTGGTGATAGATGATGGATGGATGGATGGGGAGACGATAGACAGACAGATAAATGATAGAATTCAGGGGTCTTCAAACTTGACAGCTTTAAGACTTGTGGACTTCAACTCCCAGAATTCCTCCTCCAGTCATGTTAGCTCAGGAATTCTGGGAGTTGAAGTCCACAAGTCTTAAACTTGCCAAGTTTGAAGACCCTTGGCCTAGACCGTTTTAGACAAATGGCTGTCCAATCTCTCTTTGAGAACCTCCAGTGTTGGCACATCTACAACTTTGGGAGGCAAGTGGTTCCACTGATTAATTGTTCTCAATTGTCAGGAAAATTCTTGGATCTCTTTTTAAAGATCTTCCAACCGTGGCTTCTTGTCCTACCCTCAGGTGCTTTGTAGAATAAATTAACTCCCTCTTCTCTGTGACAGCCCCTTAAGCAGGGATGGGATTCCACCTGGTCCGTCCGGTTCTACAGAACCGGTTGTTATGATTCTGCACAGTTTGGAGAACCGGCAATTCGCTCCACTGGCTGGTCCCACCCCTCCCCACTCCGCCCACTCACTCCTGACCTGGCATGCATGGCATCCAACTTGCCTGCCTTTGGTAAGTTGCTATTTTTCCTTTTTTTTTTTTCCAGACCGTCATCTGTTCTACAGTACCAGGAGATTTAGATTAGCTAGAAAGCAGGAAATCGTTGGATTTCTTGCTTTCTAGCTTATGTAAAAGCAAAGCTGAACCTTCCTTAGGACTGAAGCTTCTGTTTTCAATGCAGACTCAGGCAATAGATTGCAGAATGGTAGATCTCTGAGTGAATCTGTGATTCTGTGAGCAATTCAATCTGCCTGCCTGCTTTGCCTGATTTGGGGTAAAAGTTGCTCTTTTTTATTAAAAAAAATTCAATATTTACATAAATATTTACAATATTTACATACAAGCCACGCCCAGCCAGTCATGTGATCTCCAAGCCATGCCCAGCCAGCAAGCCACGCCCAGCCAGTCATGTGACTACCAAGACACACTCACAAATTAGGCCACACCCATAGAACCGGTTGTTAAGAAATTTGAATCCCACACCTGGCCTTAACTACTGGAAGATTGCTATCATAACAGCACCCCCCTTCTCCTTCTCCTCATTAGACTAGACATACCCAGTTCCCACAACTGTTCATTGTATGTTTTAGTCTCCAGTCCCCTAATTATAAGTGTCATGACATATCGCAATGACCAGAATTGGACACGGTATTCAAAGTGTGATCTCCCTGCTTCATACTGCACTGTTGAGGCCATACTTGGAACACTGTGTCCAGTTCTGGTCACCACGATTGCAAAAATATACTGAATTGTTGCATCTCAGCTTTTACACAGGAACTGGAAGGAGAAAGCTACTCACTGTATAACTCAGTTACAGGCTGCGGTTTATCTCCAATTAGTTTGTACCAATTGTAGGCTGGCTTTGGCACACCAGTTTCCGAAACGCAGGCTAAAGTGATCAAGTGGCCGATTTCAACTTTAGGATGATGGCTTGAACCAAAACTGCAGAGAGGCTTCGAAGGAGGAACTGGAATACAAAACAGCAGGCAAAGCGGTAAAATCGAAATTATACTTCTCTTTGTCTTCGTTGTGTTGTATTCTAGGGAAGGGGCTACATAGCTGCAAGTCAGTGGCAGGGTTAGCAAAACAGAGCATGCATAGGATCTAGACCCCTCCTCCCCTTCTCTGGTCCATGGGAAAAAAGGTCTTCTGTGAAACTGATGCCAAGAAGGTTGGGGACCGCTGTTCTAGGCGGCTCTTTTCCAGACTGGTGCCTTCATGACACCATTGGGCACCTACTTCCCAAATTGTGAGGCGGCTCTTCTCGATACTTTAGTAATTCTCCAGAAATGAGGTTTTAAATATATCGGCAGAGGATAGAGACCAGCAACTTTCAAATTTGGCAATTTGGAGATAAGTTGACTTTAACTCCCAGAATTGCCAACTGCGAAATGGAATAACTCTGTTACTCAACAAAAATATATAATCCTACAAGATCAGAAAAGAGTTAATAATTCTGGAATGCTGAGTTAGAATAAAAATGGAAATTGCCTTCCTTGGATGGCAGGAGAGCTGAGAGGAATCCTGAGCAGGAAGTATACATTTACATCTTGGACCAAGCCGTTCCTTGTTAAGCCATGGTTTAATCATGTATAAATCACAACCAACTGCATTTATATATAATAAATGGTTCATATATCATGAACCATAATTTGGCTGGTTAGCCTTTTGCATGGATTCTATCCCTGTACTAAATCTTTGCACTCAAAACTTGTTTTTAATGACTTGCCTATTACATTACATCATGGTTTGTTTAATGAAACAAGTTCAAACCTGATAGATACACATGATACCTCAATGCAAAGTATGAACTCTGCCGATAGTTAACCAGAAGCTCAAGTATATATTTATAGACTGGGTCACATACCATCTTAAGCCATAGCTTGTTGGCTAACCAGGCTTATACGCTGCAGTAAGCCATAAACAGTGCTGATGAATCACAGTGACTGAATACTTAGTACTTAGATTTATATACTGCTTCGCAGTGCTTTATAACCCTCTCTAAGCAGTTTAAAGAGTGTATTGATCCCAACAATTTAACATTTTACCCATTTTGGAAAGATAAAAGGTTGAATCAACCTTGAGCCGGTTAGGATCAAACTCCTGGCAGTGGGCAGAATTAGCCTGCAGTACTGCATTCTCACCACTGCGCCACCATGGCTCTTACACTCAATATGCTAAGCCAGAACAGAATGCAAAATATGTTTTAGTTTAGCTTAATGTGGAACCCAATCACCAAATCTTTAATTCAATGTAGCAGGTGATGAACACAGAAATATGCTGAAGAAGAAAAAGAGAAATAAGCACCTTGCACGCTGACCGACACTGATTTTTCACCTTCACTTGGGGTAGCGTCCGTAAATTTGTAAACCGAACACCTATAAACCCCACTGTCTGAGGTCTGCATGTTGAACAGGGTGAGGGTTGCATTTCCTGTTTTGTTTGCTACTTGAATCCGGTCTTTAAACTGTGTAAAGTAATAGGGTGTGCCATGCTGCGAAATATAAATCTGCGAAACAGAATTTAACATTCATGAAATTGGTGATGGAAGAAAAAAATATTGAGGTTTATTTGTTTTCCTCCTGATTTTGAGCCTGCCTGTAAAAAAAGATAAGTTGTCAAGTCAGTTCATAAAACAGTAATATATATATATATATTAGAATTCTGCATGTCTTTTGATAACTGTACATTGGTGTTGCATACATCACTGATCAACTAGTTAACTAGATTTCATCTAATGCAGAAATATTATTAGGCTTCCTGGGATTACACCAGCAAGATTATGGTCCAAAACATAGTTCCAGATTAATTATGAAGTATTTACAGGAAAAAAAAACATTTAGAATGGCCCCCACTTAATTATTAAAATCTGTGGAGGAGATCTCTGGCATCTAATGCAGAGATCCCCAACCTGTAGGCCGTGAGGAGTTTGCAACTGGGCCGCGGAAAGGACTAGTGAGCGTTCATGCACACGTACCCTCACTTGTGCGAGCAGCAGGCGAGCGCATATGCACATGCTCCATTTAAGTGAGTGTCATGTGTGAATGCACGCCACGTGCACGAACAGCTACATATGCATGCGCATGCTTGCTGGCTGCTCGTGCAGAACAATCCCCTTTCTCCCACCCCTGGTTTGCAAAGCCGGAAATGTTGGGGAACTCTGACATGCAAGGAGATTTTAAAAATATTTCTGAACTAGAAAAGAAGAGTAAGAAAGAAATCCTGGATATATGGGGAGCATAGCTATATATTTTTTTTTATGAATAAAAGGCTGTCCCTTCCAGTCGTATTCCCTGTTTCCTTATTTTAAATTTGCAAGCAACTCCATAGAAATAAGAAGCATACATTTATTATATTTGCAAAATGATGTTGTGTTTAATTAATCAAGGAGAGAAGCAACCTAGCATTAAGAATAAATTTCCTAACAGAACAATTAATCAGCGGAACAGCTTGCCTTCAGAAGTTGTAGGTTCTCCATCACTGGAGGCTTTTAAAAGGAGACTGGACAGCCGTTTGTCTGTAATGGTATAGGGTCTCCTGCTTGGGCGGGGGTTGGACTAGAACAGGGTTCTCCAACCTTGGTAACTTTAAGACTTGTGGACTTGAACTCCCAGAGTTCCTCAGCCAACTCATCTTATGATTTTCCTTTTCCAAAAAGAAGAGGACTTGGGGATCTAATTCCACTATGAATAGTGGACAGAGTTACTCAGTGAGTAAACTGCAAAGAAGCAGATCCTGGGAACAATTCACACAGGTTACAACTCCGCAAAAGGGACAGTAACTCCACAGTGCTTTTTAATAACCCACAGATTATAGCCTAGCAATTTTGTACCGGACAAGCGGCTGTCATGCAATTAATATCTAGAAGAGTCTGAGCATAGAAGAAAAACAAAGGACCAGGAAAAAAAATCTTTCTTTCCTAGATAGATACATTAAATATTTAGATGTTTAGATAAATACATTAATCATTTTCTACTAGGGAAATTTCTTGCTTTCATTGTTCTTCAGGCCAGCACTGGGATTCCACTGTATTTTCCAAGATTTGCCAGACTGTGTTTTGTTAAACGAAACACTCCAAACATTGGATTTTTAGCAAAAACCTTTCTTAATGTCTTTTGACCAAAAACAGGCTGTACCCCACACCTGACTAAGTACATTAGAAACAAATAAAATAAACCTCATCCGTGTGAAATTTTAATCACCCAATGATTTTCCCCAGAAGGAGAGAGGCAAAAATCAGTGGAACTAAAATAATAATAATAATGTAATAATGTAATGTTGAATTCATGGACTATTAGATCATGGGTATACATTCTGATTTTGGTAACTGGGTGTATACATGCAAAGTCAAGTAAGTATGGACATCGCTGTTTCAATTCAAAATTTCAATTTGCATCGCATTCACACAGCACCCTGGTGCAGCCCACAATTTGCACTTTGGATTGCAGTGGTCCTATCCTTGTTTCTATAAACCTCATTGAGTTAGCTAACTCACTTGTTCCATAAACTATAGGAATAATTTTGTTAAAAATGAATTGGGAATCCTATTGCGTGGTAGTGATGAATATATTATTGCTAAAGCCTATAAAATGTTATTGAATTTAAATCTGGAAAATAAACAAGTAAAGCACTGGGCAAGGAACTTTGGATATAATAAAATACGTGAACAATATGTGAGAGGAATAAAGGTTTAAAATTTACATTAAACTATATCTTCAAAGAAAATTACTATTGGATGATGTATCGTTGCTATTTAACTCCAGATAAGTTGTCAAGAATGTATAAAAGTATTTCAAATATGTGTTGGAAATGTAAATTTAAAGAAGGGACCTTTTAATCATTTATGGTGGACGTGTGATAAAGCAAAGAAATATTGGAGTAGGATTCATATCTTAATACAGAAAACTCTTAAAGTGAATATAGGAAGAAAACCAGAGACTTTTCTTTGGGGTTTAATGGAACAAGACTTGGAGAAAAAATTCAGAAATTTGTTGTTATGTTGATGGCAGCACAGAAATGGAATGTTACCACAATCCCCACAATGGATGAATGGCTGCAAAAACTGATGGAGTTAGCAGAGATGGCAAAATTGATCCTTTTGATGAAAGAAAAAAATACAAATAGTCATAAGTTGAGGACTATCTATATTAAGAGCACATTAAAAATCCCAAATATTTTATATCTTATTATTCTTATAGATTGCATGTTCTTACCTTGTGAATCCCGCTACATCTTCCCCGTGTATCTGTGATAGACACAGTCTTTCCACAATGACTGGTAGATTTTTCACCCCTATAAAGGCATGTTGGTGGCTGTATTTGAGTAGAAATGTGCTAGTCTATGAGTTGGTGACTTGGATTTTAAAAAAAGACAAAGCATACTTTTTTTTTTTAACATGAGCAATATGGACTTTCATTTTAAGGTTGCCTTATCGCCTTTTGGGGCCTTAAGTCACCATTCGGAGTTCATTATCAGGGCTCCAGGTTTGGAGCTCTCAATCTCAGGCCTGCTGCTTATTTTAGCTTCCTATCCTGAGATTTTACTTCTACCCATCTTGTAGTAGAGGTAGTTGTCAACACTAAATTAAGGCACCAGGCTAGAAAGTGGGAGAGTGTGAGTTCAAGTCCCACCTTAGCCTTGAAAGCCAACTGGGTGACTTTGGGCCAGTCATTCTCTCTCAACCCAACCCACCTCACAAGGTTGCTGGTATGGAGAACATAAGAGGAGGAAGGTCCATTGGAAATAGAATAGAATAGAATAGTTGGAAGGGACCTTGGAGTTCTTCTAGTCCAACCCCCTGCTTAGGCAGGAAACCCTACACCACTTCAGACAAATGGTTATCCAACATCTTTTTAAAAACTTCCAGTGTTGGAGCATTCACAACTTCTGGAAGCATTGGATATATTTGCCACCTTGAGTTATTTCCAAAAATGGTTATGGTGGGATAAAAATAAATGAATAAATAAATTTTACTGATATGCAGCAAAAATATAGACTAATACAAAATGGGCCCCACTATCAGCAAAGCTAATGATCTAGGAAGTAGAGTATAGCCAGAGAAATTCGGAAGTGGTTTTCCTCATAACCAAAAACCAGAGGGACAAATATTCCCTTGGTTTTTGTAGCTCAGCTATTCCTATCTGGAGAACTTCTAGAAATAATAGAATACAACTTTCATAATTCTGAGGCAAGATGGCCCATGACTAAGAAATTGCGGAATTGTATGTGATATTTCTTCGATAAATCCCAAAGGATTCACGATTGAAGAAAATTGATTTAGGATTAGGATTTAAATTGGGCCATCAAATAATGTATATCATAGATTCTGCCCTGGTGAAGGGATATTAATTGATGAAGAATATCTGATGGCGGACTTCCGGTTTGAAGGGCTTTGACGACAGACAGAAATCCGCAGTCGTGCGCGGTTTCTGTCTGGGCTCGCCGCTGGAGCACCCTGAGCCGTCTGGTTTCGGGGCTAAGCCACCCCATAGAGGTGGTGAAGAGTGGGGAGACCACCAGCAGGGTCAAGGAGAGACGCATCTCTCCTCCTCAGCTGGCCATTACTCCCTTTCCCGAAGGCGAACCACCACAAAGAAGAACTCTCCCGGAAAAGAATGTGCAGGAGGAAGATAAGAAGTGAAAGTTTTGGCTGACCGGGTTAAATTGTAAAAGCAACAACCAAGGTACCGTGGAATTTAAACTTACAAAAAATAACATTGCTCCCAAAGAAGAGTCGGAAGCAGCAAAGGAAAGTGAAAAGGGAAAGGTTTGGCTTTTTTTTCCTTCTCTCTCCTTCCCTATACTGACAACTAAGAGACTTAAATAAGAAATCAGAAAAATCCACTTTGACATCAATAGACAATTAAGCTGAAAATAAAACAAAATGCCAAAGGGATAATAAAGATTTCTGGACATTAAAAACTTAGTTTTTCATAAGCAGGAAGGGAGAGAAAAAGAATAAGGGTAGGATCTGGAAGGGGGAGGAGACTGCCTGGAATTAAAAAGAATTTAAAGTAAAACTTCAACAAGACTTCTAAAAGATACATTTTAACTGAATCTTTGCAACTAAATAGTAACCCCAGGAAGAGAAAGTGAAAAAAAAGAGCAAAAAAGAAACAGCTTGCGCATATTTGGACTATATGGTGATCTTTTGATTTTTGGTTATTATATTTGAATGACTAAAATCAATCGGGTGGTTGTTTAAAAATTTATACAATGGCACCACTTCTGGATGAATTGAAAATGGAACTTAAAAAGTACAAAGAAGATGCACAAGAAGGGAAGGGTTCTTTTGGCTTCGTTTTTCAATTCTTAGAAATGGAGATTTGGAACAATGAGAAACAACAAGAAACGACTGCAAAACAAGAAGACTGGGACAAAGAAGCCATCTTTGATGAACAAGTAATTCTATGTGGGGAAGAAAAGGGAAAGGGGGGGAAAGAGAATGGAGAATTTAAGACTTAAAAAAACAACCAAAGAAAAGAAAAATAATTCAAAAAATAAGTATAATACTGGAAAGCAACAGAAAAGGGGAATACAGAAGAGAGAAATAGAGGTAGAGAGACAAGGGGGTAAAAAGGGGAGAGAGAAGAAGAGAGGGAAGAAGGAAAGAAGTTACAAAGGACCGGGGCAAGATATAGGATCTATTTAGAGATAATGGGTGAAAATCTAACTGAAAAAGGGATTCTGTAAAGGTACATAAGATTGTATTGTTATATTAATAATAGAAATAACTTTAGAAAATTGGAAACAACGTATGATTAAAATGAGGGATAAAATAGTTAGCGTAATTTAGTGAAATGTTTGTGAATAAAATAAGTGAAATAAAATAAATGAGAAAATTGAATTAGGAAGGAACGGGAACATTTTAATTAGTTAATGTTTTATAAAATATAAGTGAAGAGGGGGGGGATTAACTATGGAAAGCTTATAATTGTTCCCATAGAAGTATGATGTTTAATTGAAAAGTAATGTTAAAGATGTTAAGACTTTAATGAATATTAATATTAATGATAGAATTGGAATGGAATGTTGTTTTAATTATATATACTTATATATTTTTTTCTTTTTTTAAGAATACAGTGTGTTTTAATAATGTACCAAGCAGAATCCAAATGGAAGTTATGTATTATATTGAATGTTACAACTTCAGGGAAAAGATATAAAGGCGTCATACTCCAATTAGTAACTACAGGAGAAATTTTGTTTAATGAGAAAAGATAATAGAAAATTGAAACAGGACAGACAAAAAATATAAATACAATGATCTGAATTGAGATGAGATAATTAAAATAAAATTGAGAAAATTAAAAGAGAGGCAAAGCTATGCAGAAAATGTAAAATAGTAATAAGATATGGAATAGAATATAAAAATGAGCATGAACCTGAATTTGTGTCTGTACGAAGAAATGTAACCCGGGATTACGCTGCTTTAAAAAGAGATGTTTTATTTGTATTTTTTTTTCTCTTTGTGAAAACTCAAATAAAATTTACAAAAAAAAAAGAATATCAGACAGCATGCCCAAATTTAAAACTTTTAGCATTCTAAGTGCTAAGCAAACAAGAGAGCCTTTAGAAGCCAAAATTGATTTCTTCTCTGCTGGCTTAAAATGTATCAGTCTACTCTAAAGAATTGCATAATGGGAATATGATTACTTTGGTCACATTACTTCTCTGCTAAAGTACATTTTAATATTTTTAGTATTTATTTGATTTGTCAATTGCTTACAAGATACAGGTATAAGAATAAATATAGTTTTGAATATATGAGATAGATACTTACAAGAAAAATAAAAGAAACAATAGGACAGGGACGGTAGGCACGATTGGTGCGCTTATGCACGCCCCCTACAGGCCTCTTAGGAAGGGGGTGAGATCAATAGTCGACAGTCTAAGGTTAAAGTTTTTGGGGTTTGGGGAAGAAACTGGTCTCTCCTTATAAATAAAAACACCTGACTTTAAACTCAGTGGAGACCATTCCACTGAGCTACAACAACTTTATATTGTACCCAGGGAAGATAATATTTGTAACTCGGGGTTGAGCGTGGGGTCCTTGCTGCTCTCTGAGCTTGGTTGCAAATGTTTCATAACAAAATACCCAAGCTCAGACAGCACCAGGGACCCGACAACTTTTAGATTGTGTTCAGAATAGTATTTGGCATCCAAAGCAGTCTTAATCAGGCAACAAGGAACAGTTCAAGTTTGAAATAAAAGCATAATGTCTTACTCCAAGACTTTGCAGATCAGTGCCATAAAAATTCCATTGAATCATATCAGGAATAGATGGTGGGGTATACATGCAAGGAAGGGTGATATTGGCACCAACTGTTGTATTCACAGCACTCTCTGGCATGGTCACAGTCACACTCTTCACAAGACCTGTGGAAAATCAATCAATTAAGCAAAAATCAATCAAATGTCTATTTATATTGGAGAACCAAAATGTTGTCCCTTTCCTATCTCTTTCTCGGAGATAAAGCTCTGGCTCTTTGGCCAGTTAAAATGCATCAACCAAATGCAGGTATTTTGGATTATATGCCAACCTGATGGAATAATTATAACCATTATCTTCCTAGCCATGTATTTAGAAAGAAAACTCAGGGACCATGTCCATGGAAGAGATGAGAAAGGCAGATAATGGGAACAAGGGATCAATAGCCTTGACACCAAAATCTATCTCAGAAAAGGCAAATCTAACATTTTTACCGTTACTTTTCACCGTTCTACCATCGAGAGAATTTTGGCATACTGTGTAACAGTGTGGTATGCTGGATGCTCCGTAGTGGATAAAAAGATGCTCCAGAGAGTTATAAACACAGCACAAAAAATCATCGGTTGCTCTCTTTCTTCTTTGGAAGAGATTGCGAAGACCAGACTTCTCTCTAGAGCACTAAAAATCTCCACAGACCATTCTCATCGTGGTCATTCATATTTCGAACTGTTACCATCAGGGAGACATTATAGGTGTCTTAAAATGAGGACTAATAGACTGAGAAACAGTTTCTTTTCCAAGGCAGTAATTGTCTTGAATCAAACAGTGCATTTGTGATTTAGTCCTATGTATATAGTGGCATTTTTAAACCATTTAACCTACTAAATGTTTTAGATAGGTTTTAGACTAGGTATATTATTATTATTATTATTATTATTATTATTATTATTATTATTATTTTAAATACTCTGCAGTGTGATTGTGATGTGGCATTTGGGTCACTGCGCTTGAGTAGCTTTCAAATTTCATTGTATTCGTGGAATGCAATGACAATAAAGGTATTCTATTCAACACCTCTCTGTGGAGGAAGACAGAACAGCAACAAGTAAATTGTGATATCATTATGCAAAGATGGAAAGTGGAAGGACTTACGGTTCAACACTGTTGTAATAGCAAATGGTTGTTAAACAAAGTAGTCACTAAACAAGGACTGTATTTTTGAACTTAGTTTAAGTCCAAGTAGTATGTTATGCCATCAGTTTTCATAACCATAAGTAATTATAGGGAACACAATAGACTAATCCACATTTTGTTGCCAGGCTTTTTACTGGATTCATATCCCAGGTTTTGTCCAAACATCTCAGAAGATGGGACTATCTGACATACCTTCTCTGGACTAGAAAGTGAAGCAAATTCCTGCCAAGAAAACAACCTGGATATGTCCTTGAGGCAGGGCTGGGATACGACAGGGTTAACCACCGGTTCGGGATTTACGAGCTTCCCTGCAGGCTGCGAGCCGCGTGCCTGTAAATCGTCATCAGCAGCTGCCTGCCGAGAAGCAGCCTTTGAAACAGCCCTCTTTTCTTGCTTTTCTAACTGCAGCTGTGCCTCGTTCGGCAGCTGAAGTTGAAAAATAAGGAAATAAAGGTCAGGTAAGAGCCCAGGTGGGCAAAAACATCAGCAGACATAGAACCGGTTTCTATGTCTGCTGCTCTTCAGAGCTACCGGTTCTACAGACGTGGACAGAACCGGTAGAAACCCACCCCTGCCTTGAGGTCAATAGGGATCAAGTTCAATTCCAATTCCATTAAAAGAAAGCTTTACTTTTACGAATTAATAATTCAGATAGGAATGTTGCTCTAGAAAATGCAGGTCAGCCCTTGATTTACAAGCACAATTGAACCCACAATTTTTCTTGTTAAGTGAGACATTTTTAAGTGAGTTTTGGGCCCTTTTACAACCTTTCTTGCCTCAGTTCTTAGGTGAGTCACTGCAGTTGATAAGTTAGTAACCTGGTTGTTAAGTGAATCTGGCTTCCCATTGACTTTGCTCGTCAGAAGGTCCCAAAAGGGGATCACGTGACCCCGAGGACACAGCAACCGTCCTAAATATGAGTCAGTGGTCAAGCATTCGAATGTAAATCACATGACCACGGGGATACGTCAACGGTCGTTAAGTGTGAAAAATGGTCATCAGTCACTTTTCTTAGTGCTGTTGTAACTTTGAAGGGTCACTAAATGAATTGTTGTAAATCCAGGACTATCTGTATGCAGACGTCATCTGACTCTCGCCTTGTGAAACACACACAAAAAAAACCCCAACAACCCTTAACAACTGTTATGTAGGACCCTGCCGGTAAATCCGATTGAGCAGTGGGAAGATTTAGATAACAAAAGTCAACTTAATAATCTCATAATTGAAGACAAATTGAAACAGCAGATGGAAAGGCTAGTCAAACATTGGAAAGTTCTGTTCTTTTCTTAAAACCAGCAATACAAACACTCTACTTAGAGGAATCCCTAGAAGTTAAGTGCAATTCAATTTTGAATTTACGTCTTTTTGCATGACCCAAATGAGATCCAAGGGGAAAGGGATAGCAAGCCAAGCCCTCTGGAGAACCCCAAATTTGCCAGTTATCCCTTTTGTTTATGTAATGATAGAGTAGAGGGTGGAACAAAAATGAAGAGTTACTCTTTCCTTATGACTTCCTGGGTTGTTGAAATGCCACTGTGGCCAGCCTTTGAAGCAATGCTCAAGTAGCTAAGTGAATGCTAGGTTGGGTTCACCCATTAGATGAGCCTTAATGGAAACCTTTCGTTTAAGTATTTTATATTATATTATACTGTTATAGCTTACATTATGCTGTTATAGCTTGTTATAGTGGATGGATTAATATCGTGGAAAATCCTTAATTGACAAGTTGTGGTTGAAGCAAACCATGGCTTCTAGCAATATGTACCTGCAAGTAAAGAGTTTGTTTGCGTGGTGCAATAAAACAAATTATCTTTGATGGCCATCTCACCCATAACCATGTATCTGCTTCCTGAAGCTTCTTCTTCTCCTCCATTCAAGAAAGTAGACACTTAAATGTGCAGGAGAGATCAATGAATAGAGGCGTTCATGATACAGGATTTTTTTTTTTAAAAAAAAATCAAGTTATGTAGTTATGTGATCAAAGCACTGCTTCTGTCTCATATGTGCTGCACATGAGAGGTAGGCCTTCAATTACTTCACTCCCAGCTGCTATCTTAACTTTTCAGCCTTATCCCTCTGGCCACCCTTATCGATGGAGATTGGGTGCTCCACCTGTTCTACCAGAAACAGATTCTAATGAAACTTAGATGCGCAATTTTTCTCCAAGCTAAGGACTTCCTGTTAAATGTCCCCCCCCCCCCAAAAAAAAAGTCTGTGGGACAAGACAAAATAAAATTTAATTTTGTTGCATTTCCCTTAACATTTAGTTAAGGTCACAGAATTTCTATTTAGCCATAAAGAAATATTTAGAATTATCACAATAAATTTGCATTTTGGTAATAAAATCTGAAATGCCCTGGCAGCAGAAGTCTTCAAGCTGAGTGAGAACTTTGGTTTTCCTCTTTGCGTAGCTGATTTTCATTTCAAACCACAAATTTACAAGCTCATTTTTTCATATAATGATGAAAAATGTGGTTTTGAAAAAATAAGTCCCCGCCCCCTCACACATCTGCAGTGTTTATTTATAGTTCTGAGGGCCTGAAAATCTTTTTTAGATAGGCAGTTAGAGACATTGGTCGTGGCTGGGAACCCTGAGATTGTGATCAAATCATCTGAAGAGGATGTTCATCTTACGAGGAAAGCTGAGATCAAGAATTTGCAATCAAATAATCTATCTAGTATACCACCAAAATCTCTTGCCAATTTACAGGGTGTTGTAGATGAAAAACCTAGATATTAAGGTACAGTTAAAAGAACCAAATATCAAACCAACCATTCTTGGCCTGCTTTAAAGGGCAACTTTTTAAAAGTTTTAGTCGGTAGAGAAATTGGCTCCTCAGCATGCAAGGAGTAGATTTCAAGGAATTGAGCCATCTCCAAAAAAGCCTCTATCCCAAAATCTAGCAAGATGATCCTGTGGCAATTTGGGTGCTGGTTAAGTGAGTGGAGAGAGTAGAAATCTCTCTGTATTTTGTTCAGAAGTCATCTCTTCTCCACCTGCTAAAGCTTCATTTGCAAAACACACTGAGCTTGCTTTCTATTATCTCTTTTTGTGTGCGTGTGTCTAGCTTGACGTGTTGTGTGAATCCAGCCTGCCTCTATAGCCCTTTTAAGAGAGCACAGTGGCTCGTGAGTTTAGGACACCGAGCTGATAATCGTCAGGCTTGCGTTTGAGACCCTGTTGCTGCTGCAGGATGGGGTGAGCTCCGTCACACACCCCAGCTCCTGCCAACTGAGCACTTTGAAAGTGGGTGATCGCAAATGATTGGATAGGTACCACTTTGGTGGGCAGCTTAACAAAGACATGAAAAGAGTCCCCACATGGGCATCCCCTGAGCAATGGTGATGTCACCGTTCAACCTGGAAGGGCTTTGGTGCTCCCGGCACAACTATAGTAGTAGTAGCACTTTTCAGACGAGAAGCAAGTGGAATAGAGCAGAAGATACAGTGAGTATCTAAAATGTCATGACGACGTCAGCCACCATGGTATGTTGCACATGTGACACACATAAAAAAAAAAATCTATGAAACTTTGATTGCACCATTGTGGCTGCCATCTAAATTTTTTTGACCACACTGTGCAGACATCTATGGAGTATATAGCGAGAGTTTGGAGGTTTCATTCCCTGTTCCTTCTTTTTTTCTTTCAATCTGCCTGTTTGGTCTATGAGACTGCAAATGTTACCTCCATCTTGGTTCCTTTTTTTCTTTTGAGCTTCTCCATAGTTTCAAAGGCTCTGAACGATGGAAATAGTAGGAGCCAAGATCATTCTTCTTATCCCTTTCCTAAGTTTCTTTAATTTGCCTTTTCTTTCAGTCTAGGTTAGGAGCTTGCTCGTGAAGCTTTCCTCTAGCTTAAATGCCTGCTTTCGAGAGCATTCACACGTACACGAACACACCTTTCTCTCCAACAGGGTGGATACCTCTGAGAAGATCAACCCAGATCCTGGGATCTCCAAATGAATTCTCTGGACTAGATTCAGAGCTCCATGCAGAGCACTTAAGAGGAGTCAAATCTGGAAACCCGCATTTTTACACCATGGGTAAAAGGAAATGGAGGTCATTTTCTTTCTGGAAAGGATGGAATCGACAGAACAAGTGAAGCTGACGTTAGTCACCCTCGGTCACTCGCTTTGTCTTGGATCAAGAAGTACCCTCACTTGCTTCTCTTCCAGGATGATATGTCCAAAGGCAACCTCTCAAAACTCCACCTGTCCAGATTCAGTTTGAGTACATTGTCCATATAAGTTGACCTCACATGAGAAAACGTCTAACCTTCTGCTTAGTTCGATCAATCCGAATTAGAGCTGGAAGGGACCTTGAAGGTCTTCTAGTCCAGCCCTCTGCTCAAACAGGAAACCCTACACCATTTCAGACAAGGGTCTCTCTAGTTTCTTCTTTAAAACCTCCAGTGATGAAGCCCCTATAACTTTGGAAGGCAAGCTATTCCACTGGTTCATTGTCTTCTCTGTCAGGAAATTTCTCCTTAGTTCTAGGTTGGATCTCTCTTTGATTAGTTTCCATCCACTATTCGTCTTGCCCTCCGGTACTTTGGAAAATAAGTTGATTCCCTCTTCTTTGTGGCATCCCCTCAAATACTGCTACCATGTCAACCCTAAGTCCTTCTTTTTCTCCACTAACAGTCCATGCTCTGTTCCTGGAACCATTCCAAAAGTTGAATTTATATATTTGTTTTCCTTCCCAGATCACTTCCCTGCCCACTAAGCACTTGAGCTGACACACCAAGGAGCCCATTTCTTTAACATGCACACACCAATTTTTTAAAAGCCAGGTAAAACATGCAATTAACATAATTGCTCAATAAACCCCAGTATTCAGAACAAAATCAGAGTTTCTGAGATTCTGGAAAAGAAGCATCTTATTATGGCATCCAAAGCCACCTGGCAAAAAGGAGCCTAATTTTGAAAGATACCATCTTCACCAGAATCTTACTATCCAAGCAGAATTCCAACAGCATCCAGAAATAAAGGGATAAAACTACATACACATTGGAGAACTGTGAATTCCCCAAAATAGAATCACAAAAGGAGATACCTTTGAACTTCTACCCTCAACTTTTCTGTTTCCCCAAATATCACATTCATGTTCTGAGTTGAACACCTTAAAAGAACAAAACCATCGTTTCCTCCCTTGTTTTGAATTTAGCTGTCAAATTGTAGAAGCCTTACCTAGAACAGCTGTCAGAATGGCCAAAATCCTCAGCATGCTTGCTAGCGTTTTCATGCGCAGGGTAAGAAACAGAAGATGCTTCCCTGAGAAAGAGCAAATTCAAAATGGAGCTTGTGGGATATGGGCTGTGACTTTTACTTATCACCTAAGCCAGTCAACAAAGAGTTGACTCCTTCCTCCATTATCAGATATCCCCAACAGTTTTCTGGCTCACCTGTACAATTACCTCAGCTGAAACCATTTTCTGAGGTGTGGACTATTGAAATATTTGTTAATCATAAACTAAAGGTACAAGGAGGGATCTGTGGCTGGATGCTGGCACCTTTAAAAATACAATAGTTTGGTAGCGACTGTTCCAAACCTTCTTTTCAGTTGCAGTGATGCGCATAGCATATATTGCTTTTGATATTTTTCGCCATTATACTGTCATTTTTTTTCCTGTGGATAATCTGTTTGGTTTAGCTCTCAAATCAAATGCTGCATTGCCTTATGTAGGTCTGAGATGAACAATCTTTGAGGAAGGGTGCTGGAAGAGATGAATATAGTAAGCAGAAGAATAATGGTATAAACATATCCCACCTCTGAGAAGGGTCCTTCCTTCCTTCCTTCCTTCCTTCCTTCCTTCCTTCCTTCCTTCC